GAGGGTATTTTTTCATCAATATGAAATCTTGGAGTATATTCGTTAAAATTTTGAATTTTTTGGAGCTATAGTGATGATTATTCAATCCTGGAGCATTTGTGTAGAACACGTTTATGAGAGTATTGACATGAATTTTACCTTTATAAGAAAAAAGTTTATTTGGTTGTAATTAAAAGATACGCAGTGGTTTTATTATTGCAAAAGGAAAAAAAAATCTCCCCTTTCTCAAGTTTCTTGACTTATTGAAGTTTTGGCAAACCAAAATGATAACATATAAGGTATTGGTCAATTCCTCTTACCAAGTAACTTTGGTTGAATCCTACAGTCAGATTGTCTTCCACTTCGGTCTGGTTCGATCTCATTTGGCCGGTTTGAGAACGAAGATTTGTGTTGGGAGAGAAGGTCTTCTTTCTCCCATAACAGGTACATTGAAGAGGCTGAGAAATTCTCAAAGCCGGGGTCCGTTACCGAGAAGAAGGCGATACTCGAGGCCCATTTCAGGCGGCGGGCAGGACTTTTTAGCCAGAGCTCTTCGGAGACTAGTGGAAATGCCAATGAAGCGGGACGGTTTGGAGCGAACGATAGTGGAGGGTATGATGGGGATTTTGAACATTTCAATGATTGTAGCTATTCCTCACATAGTCACGACGTGGACCCCGAATCGGCGGGACCCAAAAATGAAGATCGTGGGTTTTATTATGATGATGATTATCATGAAAGAAATCATAGTAGACCGGATGTTGATGACCGTGACGATAATCTTGTCATTGTTCGTGAACATTTTCATGAAGATGAAGAAGAAGAAGAGGATCCTCATCAAGTCAATGGAACAATATCAGTCAACAGCGATGAATCTCGGGGTGAAAACGTGACAAAGAATACAGTTGTTCCTACACAACAAACTTCTTCTCCAAAGGTGCGTTGCACGGTTTCGTTCTTAATTATTGTTGCTTTTGAAAATTTTTTATTGAGTGATTGAATTGAGTAGAATTTCTAGTTGTTTGAGTGATTCGATCGAGTTCTTTTGTACAATATATTGTTGTTTTATGCTCATCTTATGTGTGAATGAATATAGGCAAAATCTAGAGCCTCTAACACTGCTAATAAGGTAAGTACAACCACTCCAATAGTAGGCGTCGCGGACATTCCTCGGAAGCCTAGAGGGAAGTGTGACAATTTAGTGAGGCAGAAACCGGTTCCGGAAATTTCGACAACATCAAAACTTGAGGTTCTTTTCTTTTTTAATACTTTTGTAGCCATTTGTGTATAACATTGTACACAAACAGAGTTCCACTAACAATTTATGATGTTTGACCGAAGACGTTTTCTATTCAGTTTATTTAAAAATTCGTGTAGAATTGAATAAAAAAGAATTTTTATGTTAAAAAATTATGCCAAAAGTTATAAAGCAAGGGGTGGTCAATGAAAATATGCATGGACAGAAAATTGGAACCTTATTTTCGGGTGAAGGTTATAAATCAAAGAATGAATTTTGATTTTCATTTTGGTTTTGGTTTTTATGTTCAGGTTCCATCTAGTTCAAAATGTAAAATGCATTGCGAAAGTAAAAGGTAAAATCACTACAAAGTATATTTTGAATATCTTTTTTTAAAGTAATTTTTGAATATCTATGTTTAGGTTACCTGCTAAATTTGGGTCTCTCATGGATGAATATATCTTTTCAATTTGTAGCACTGAAAGGGAAAGGAGGATAAAGGAAAAGGATGCCCACAAAGGGTATAAAAGTCCAAGCAGGTCCAAGTGTGGTGAAAATAGTAAAACTTCGCCGAGCACGAAGCGAAGTTCTTTCTCCTTTAGTTTCAAGAGTGAGGAACGCGCGGAGAAGAGAAAGGAGGCAAGTTCCTCCCTATTATGTTACATGGATTCTTTAAACGAGTTCCTCCCTAAGTACTTGTTTGGTTTGGGGTTTTGCATGGGAGGAGGAGGCGGAGGAGGGGAGATAAATTCATAAATTTGCTTTTGTTATACTAATTTTTCATTTGAATTTTTTTTCCACCCATCTAAACATAAGAATAAATCAATAAAATGAGTATCATTCCCTCTCACCCGAAATCCCCCAACCAAACAAGGCCTCGGAGTCTTCATAACGATCTTAACAAAGAAGTTTAATTTTGACGTTCGTCTCAGTTCTCAATAAAGCTAGAGGAGAAAATGCACGCAAAGGAAGCGGAAATGCATCAGCTCCAAGCAAGAAAGCAGGTAATACCACGACCCACCGACCTCTACGAATCCAAATACCTCTTCCAATGTGTTTAGGGTGTGTTTGGCCCTTCCAGTTTCATTCTTTTTCCTTAATATCTTTAAAATCTTTCGTTCCCCTCCAACCAAACACACCCCCTTAGCTATGTGTGTGATGTGTAGATGATTAAAATTTGGTCTACGCGTTTCATTCGTGCAGGAAAAATCAGAAGCTGAGATAAGAAGGCTGAGAAGAAGCCTAAATTTCAAAGCAACTCCCCTGCCTTCTTTTTACCTTGAAGATGGACAACAATCAAATAGGAATAAGGTGGAGTAATTTTTTTTATGCCATAAGTATGATTGTTTTTCATAACCTTTTCTTTTCATTTCTCTACCAAATCTCGTGTACCAAATTTCTTGAACCAAACGTAGTGTTAGTTTTCTGACTTGGTTTCCATTGCAGAGGAACTTGGGGAGTAAACCAAAACCGGCTAAGCCTCCTCCTCCAAGCAAGCATTCGTACCCAAACACGTCTTCTTCCTCTTCTTCGGGAGTGACAATCGCCAACATTTCACCACCAACCGAAAGCGTGTCTTCTCCACAAGTCTGCAAAGGTAACAATAGCAACAAGAAAATCTCTAATGCCAAACTTGGGAGAAAGGGTACCGAGCGAAGGGCGGTCCACATGGGGAGTAACCCTAGAATGGATAGACTCGCAGTCGGCATCGTTGCCTCGTAACTCAATGTGGGCCATGTTTGCACCCTCTTCTTGACAAGAAGGAAATGTTCATGAAATTGCTTCTTACACTTTGTGCACATATATGTAATTAAATGTAGCTTGGTAGGCTGTATTTTGAACATTGGTTTTGTAATATTGTGGAAGTATGAAGAGTAATGATGCTACATGTGACTGTAACAAGAAACCCAAAAGCTATAAGAAATAAATAGTCCTTTCACTGAATTAGTGTTGGCATGCTTTGCTAACATCATATATCTTGCTTGTTATTATGACCTTATGAGTGCTTGATACCCACCTTGAGTGTCATCTGAGGTCTGTTGGTTATACGTGCATTAATTGTCACATAGCCGAAGTTATGTTAGTCAACTCAGGCTAAAGTATGCGTTTTTTCACACTAAGGAGCTGTTTGGCAATTTCTGAATCGGTAAGTGCTGAACCAGTAAGAGGTCTGAACCATTAAGAGCTAGTATATTGCTTAACTATTCAGAGGCAAATGTCTGATCAATTCTGATAAGAGGTCTTAACCATTCAGACTCTGTATAATACTTAATCATTCAAAGGCAAATCTCTTAACCATTCAGACATCTGAATCATTAAGAGGCTGAAACAAACAGTCTGAACCATTAAGTGCTGAACCATTCAGACATCTGAACCATTAATATGCTAAAACAAACAGCCCCTAAGTGATTTTAGAATATAGCTAGTGATGTATTGTCTACTCCCCTCCCCCCCTCCCCCCACGCGAAAATGTACAATGTTGTCAAAATGTATGTTACAGTGACATTATAGCATTTCAACATCCACAGGGGTTAGTTTTTGACCGAATGTGAAATTTTTATGAGTAATTATTATGTCATCAAAATAATGGAATTTTTAACGAATTTGCATTTCGGATTAATTTCTCTACAAATTTTGTCACGAACATCTTCAAGTACCTATTTTTATAGAAGCCATGAAGATGCTAATTTGAAGCTATTTGCAAATATGCTCATGTTTATTTATATAAAAAAGCATAACAAAAAAATAAAATAATAAATAAACGGAGTATCGTATGAACCTCGAGTCATCCCATGACATTGAATCTCAATATCATAGGAACCAAGATGAAATAAATATAACAACTTAATTATTGAGAATAAGAATAACGAAACGAGTCTCTAATGAGATGTTTGCAAGTGTCATGTTGCCACAGCCACACAATAATTAATCCATAAGGTTTCTTTGACATTCGAAACCGATATCATTGGACATTGATTAACATTAGACACCTATGATGTTCTTTTCACAGTTTTATATTTGTTGAATTTAACTATTATTAGCAGTATCTTATTACTAGGAGTATTTTACTCAATTTTTTTCAAAATATACACATCCACTTTTTTGTCATTTTATATTTCAAGATATATTTCAATTGCCAACTAAGTTAAAAAATGATCTTTATTATTAATATTTTAATTTCAATTAAATAATAATCCAAGTCAAAGTTACACATCAAACCATTTAAACGTTAGAAATGAGGAGTTGAGGTAAACTCAAGAAAAATTTAAAATATGTGATCACACATGACTTATAACTTCATGATTATAATGTGAATATAATCTTAGATTGAAACATGTTTGAACAAAACATGTTGTAACTTCATGACTACTCCGTATAAATAATCTTAGAAACACTTTCAAGATATCGAATGAAATGTTTGAACCAAAAAAAAAAAAATTGCTTTTCAAGAATTATCGCGTATTCATTTAACTTTTGACCTTTTTTTATCTTAACTTGCGAATAAATGAATTTTAAAAAGTGAAATTTGCAGTAAATAGTACTAAAACAAATATCTTTTTCCAATGTAGTACTCACACTTTTTTAGTATCTAAATAGTACTTGAGTAATGTCCAGTGGCGGGAACAATGTCCGGTGACAGTTACATTTACTTGAACAATGATTAGTAAATATTGAACAGTGGTGATACATTGGAAAATAAAAACATATGGTACTACATTGGAGAAGGCACTATGTTTTAGTATTCTTTAGGTAAATTGCCCTTTTAAAAATGATTTTGCAGAACAAAGATTGTAATATTTTACTACCAAACAATCAAATGGGGAAATAAGTGGGAGCATACAAATGGGAGCACATAATCCTTTTGTTTGAATATGCACCATGGTACCAAAGCAGAACATAGACAAATAACTAAAACTTGAAACTGCTTATGGCTGGACTAAGGAAAAATGGGACACGTTTCGAGTGTTTAAGGACATGTTCCTTCGAGGATTTTTTTTCTTCATTTACTGCTTTTGAATACATTCGAGGGGTTACACGAATCACGTAATCGAACAGAAGAAGTTACCACTTAACTTTATTTCCTTCCCCGGTTAAGCCTTTGGAGATGAAAATTGATGCTTCCCCAAGACTTTCTGTTACTGCCAGTCTGCGCGACAAAAGAGAGACAAAGAAAAATTGGTCAGAACCCATCTCTTAAGGGTAAAAATGACCAAAGTTATTAGTGTTATTCATAAGCCAAACTAAAGTCTACACCACTGCGAAGAATTTTGAATGGACAATAATCTAAGACCATAAGTTCAAACAATCCAATTCATTACCTGAGCCTCCATGCAGGCACTTAAAAGAGATTTTTGCCGGCTGCATTTATCATCCTTGTTTTGATGCAGAGCCAAGCAGCTGAGAAATGTAATCATGTCCTTAGCGCACGGTTTTTGAAGGCTCCCAAACTTCTTTGGGTCTATATACAACGTCCCTGGTTTTCGGCCCATTCCTCCCAACTTCCAGCTGAAAATTAGGTTTCCACGAACCTCTTGTAACTTGGGATCAGCTGAATACAACACAAGTTAATCTATTTAAAAAGAAAAGAGTAGTTTCTCGATACAGAATACTATTACCATTCACACTTTCAACACTACACTAACACTATGTTTGGTTCGGGGAACTATGATGGGAAAAATGCTAAGAAAGGCAAAGAAACTAAAAATAATAATATTGGTCGGGTTAGTAGGGAAATTGGCAAGCAAAATATTTTCAATAACTCTTTTGTTTGGTTGTTGCAAAGAAAACAATGGAAGACATGGTTGAGAGAAAGGAGGGAGGGTGGGGTGGTTAAGGGGGAGAGCAGCGGGGAACAATAGAATGATCCAAACAGAGTGCAAATAATAAGTGAAAAATATTCAACCCATTCATAAACTTCGATACGGTTTTGCTAATCATTGCCCTCGGGGCATTGGTTAAGCATTCCAAATACTAAAATATATCATCAAAAGAACACATTACACAAGCACATTAAATGCATATCATCATATTCGTATAATGAAAATTTTCCATATTCCGAAAGCTTGACCGATGCCCTTAGGGCAACGGTTAGCATAACCAGTTTTAATAATAAAGAAAGCAACCATTACACCAAAACAAATCAACCTCCATAGCTTTCAACACAATATCTACTTTGTATGAAAAACATACATAATAACGTAAAGTCATAAATAAGCAAATAAAGTCACGCAAATCATGTGAGCAACTACAAGTTCTCGATTGAACTCAAAAAAACAAATCAAAACATACATGTGATCCCTTTAATAATGCAGTTTCCAATGCCAATTTTCCTCCCAAAATTGACTGAAGAAATAGTAACTCAAATAAGGGTAGGCTCCCCAGTCTCCAGTAAAGAACACAAATGCAGTAATGCTGTCAAATGTTTATATTTTTCACTTTCCAATACAATGTGGGGCAGCTATGCAGAGATTTATTTACTCAAAACTCTAAACCTAGCAATAACAAATTAACTATAGCTATTTTGCAGTTCAAACTTCCAAATACCAAAAATTAAAGCTTTTGAAATAAATCCCCACCGAAAGAATGGACGAGTGAAATCAGCCAATGCTCTCACTCTATAATCAAGCTTAAAATTTATCTAAAAATGTCCCTTTTCCTAAGTTTTTTTTGTAATGCTTACAAAAAATGCAGGTTTGAATATCTTAGATATACTCAAAACTAAAAAAATATACGGCCTAATCAGTCTGTTGTAAATAAATCGCAAAGTTGAAGAAAAACAAATATAAAACAAATCTGAAACACGAAAATAAGATCTGCAGCGCGGAGTTCCACGGCGCAGCGTTACTGTTCCGATTAGGAATTTCAGAGCACAGAGCTTGAGAAAAACATCAATAAATGAAAAAAAAGCATCTGAAATGGCGATTTTAGTTCCGGCGAATTGAAACAAGACTTGATTTTTGTTATAAGAGAGGTTGATAGGGATGGGATTTGAAGAAGATAAGGTTAACGATCGAGGGATGGAGCTTTGAAGTGAAAGTACCTGAATCAATCTGATATGGAAGAACTTCGAATTGGAGGCCAAGAAAGCTTTCTGTGAAACACTGGAGAGGAAGGGTGGAAATCGAGGCAGTGAAGGGAGACGATGAACGCGGTGGGCCGAAGCCCAGATGTGTATTTTTAAGTTGGGCGCATCCCGATGGTCATCATTTCTATGAACAACATAAAATTTGGTAGCCAAAGTTTAAGACTACTTAGAATAACGTTAGACATTAGCATTAGCGTTTTGGATAAAAATTTTACGGGGTAGATTATTTGAAAAATACTAAAGTTAATCGCTCTCCATAGATATCTTTTTCAAAACATTAACGCTAATTTCTGACGCTATTCTCAAACAGACCCTAAAGAAATTAGAAGTTAAAGGTTCAAGCTTAAAAAACATGCTCTATAAAATATAAGTATAAAAAATATGGCTAAAGGTATATACTCCCTCCGTCCTATATCTTTCTTCCCGTTGCGCAAAACGAAGAAAAATCTCAAACTTTTTCAATCTATTTTATTTAAATATTGGTATAGAAATAAAAAATAAAACATACATATTTAAAAACTACATCAAAAGTTCAACAAAACGAGTGGTGACAAGAATATTTTATTTTATCATATAGGCCATGAAAAAACACAAATAAATATAAATTCCCGTGAAGTTGGAATAGTGCTCTGGGAAGAAAGTTTTAGGACGGAGGGAGTATTGCTTTAGGAAGTAATTATACAAGTGAAATTGAATTCTTGAAATTTAATTTTATTTATATGAAAAGAGACATGTAATCAATACACAATCTATTCTCTAAAAAACGTGACATTTATTTTAAAGCGGAAATTAGTATACAATACAAAGATTATACAGAGTATTTGCAAAAAAAACGTAGGTGATTATACTGAATAATGCTAGAGTCACAAACAATCTAGACACAAACTTATCATTTTTGCACTTTTTCAAGTGAATCAAATGATTTGAAGTAATTAAAAAATAAAATTTTAAATACACAAATGGCAAATCCGTGTATAGTAGTTTGTGTCCCAATTGTTTGTGACGCTACTAGCTAGCATTACTCGATTATATTCGCAAAGATTTCTAAAAAAACAAATTAATTATATATTCCATAAAAACCATTCTGAAAAAAAATGTGTACTAATTAAAATCCTAAAGACATGGCCTGATCACTAATTGCTTGGCTGGTCTAAATTAAATAAAAACACAAATAACAACCCTCACTTTAAATAATTCTCTACTCTACCCTCTATGCATGGCATGCATGCATGATGCGTGAGATTTATTACATCTTTCGTTCACGTTTAATTATTTACACCTATCTCTAAAAAAATAAAAATTAAAAAAAAACAAATTAATTAAAGAAGGCCAAAATTGAGAGGAATGGCACTTTCTTCTAATAAATTGGTTGCATCTGTGTTCCTCTTTCTTGTGCTGCTTTGTGCTCCTGGTAATTAATTTTTATTATTCATATACTCCCTCCAATCCGATCTTATATAAATTTATTAGATAAACTGCACAGTTTGAATTGAATTTTTAAATTAAATTTTACAACCTTTAATTTTATTTGACCATAAATCGTGAAAAAATATTTTGTATATATGTTTTGTCAAAAAAAATTAAATTTAATATGATCGAGTTCATTTTAATTAGATGTAGTTTTCATATATATATTCATTTTAAAAATTTTATTTAAATTATACGGAGTATTTTATTAATGATCAAAGTTTACGTGTAGCACTTTGGTAAAAAAAGTCAAAAACACAATTCATTTAGGAAGGAAGGAGGTATGCAAAAACATGCATGTTACCGTGTATGTAATCCGTGCAATTAATTTTTATTTATTTATCATAGATACTCCGTATAATATACTCCGTATATTTTTTGTCCATAATTTTTATGTTGCGTGTATTTTAGTTTTACAATCTTTGATGCAAAATCTTGATTTGACCATTTGTTATTTATTATTATTACGCATAAATATATATTACCTCCGTCCCACTGTCTTAGTCCACTTTTGATTTTTAGAACTGTTCATCTAAGCACTTTGACTCATCAAATTCTCTCAATGTGTAAGCCTAAATATAGTCATGTGTGATCTTGTTTGATTTGTCTTAACATATAGATTATTAATATATAATTTCTATAATTTTTTAATATACAAATTACAAGATAAAATGGATTAAAGAAGTGCATTGGATGGTGTGCCAAAAGGTAAGTGGACAAAGACAGTGAGAAGGAGG